CCACGTGGTCTGCACTCTGCTCAGAGACAGAGATGGATTAAATCAGAGCTGTGGGAATGCTCACGAAAGCATGGCACCGTTAAAGGCAGGGGTGGGCAAACTACAGTTTGGGGGCCAATTCCAGCCCATCAGACCTTTTAATTCGTCCCTCGAGCTCCTGCCAGGGAGCGGGGTCAGGGGCTTGCCCCGTTCTGCGGCTTCCGGAAGCAGCGGCATGTCTCCCCTCCGGTTCCTACACATAGGGGCAGCCGGGGGCTACGCATCCTGCCCCCGCCCCAAGTGCTGGCTCTACAGCTCCCACAGCCGGGGGGGGGGACAGGATGCTGCTTCCGGGAGCTGCTTGAGGTAAGCGCCACCCGGAGCCTGCACCCCATCCCCCTGCTCCAGCCCTGATCCCCCTCCTGCCCTCCGACCCCTCGCTCCCAGTCTGGAGCACCCTCCTGCACCCCAACCCCCTCATCCCCAGCCCCACCCCAGAGCCCACACCCCCAGTCAGAGCCCTCACCCCCTCCCACACCCCAACCCCCAATTTTGTGAGCATTCATGACCTGCCATACAATTTCCCTACACAGATGTGGCCCTCGGGCCAAAAAATTTGCCCACCCCTGGTTTAAGGCCATCAGCCCAGCTCCCCCCCGCCCCGGCCCATCTGATCACAAGGTTCTCCCCCAGCTGCCCATGCAGTGCACACAGCCAGGTGTGGGAGGCGGCTGGGCGGCAGCAGAGGCGCGTGTGGGATTCTGGGGTCCCCTGCACTGAGCCGTGGTGTCGCTCTCCCTTAGGGCAGCCGTTGGCCACGGGAACGGGGACCTTGGTGCTGACCCTCGAGGATGTGAATGACAATGGGCCAGAGCCAGATCCACGGGAATTTTACATCTGCAATCAGAACCCAGTGGTCCAGTTGTTAAATATTGTGGACCCGGACCTTCCCCCGAACACCGGCCCCTTCAAGGTGGACCTGCTGCACGGCTCCGGCTCCAACTGGACAGCAACTGTGAACGCCCAGGGTAAGGGGCTGAGCCGCTGTGCGCCCCTCTCGGCTTGTCCTGCTGCGAAGCAGGCTGTCCACCCGCCCCGGCCTTTCAGAGCAGTCAGTTGTGGGGGGAGCTACCCCACGCTGGCGTTCCCACTTGGGCTGGTGGCCCAGGGGCTGTGGGGTAGAACTGGGCCCATCCGCCGGTTCTTTGTTGCTTTGTTTGACTTGCCAAAAGGCTAGTGGAGCCATAAGGCCTTTCCAGTTACTGCTTGTGCTCCCCCCACCCCCAGCAGAGCGAGGGGCAGGGACCTCAGTCCCCTCTGGGGCCTGGTGCGTTCTCACTAACCTGCCCAGCCAGCGCTCCTCAGAAGGAGAATGTGAGAGCTCTGGAGCAGGCATGTGTCTGCTGGGCCGCTCTTCAGGTGCCAGCCAACCCTACTGGTCTCCTGAACCCACAGCGGGTACCTGAGGGTAGAGCCCCCCGGGAAGGACCCCGAACGTGTGGAGGGGACTCAGGCTTCGCCACTCCCGCTGGGCCTGCTGGTTGTAGCCAGTAGCAGCTCCACCCCTCTTATGCCCCCAAGGCCAGTCACACTGCCAGCTGTAAGTGTTGCTAGCTGCCCCCCCACCCCCACGAACCCCACGCTCCGTAAACCTCCCCGCAGGAGCTGGGCTTTGCGGACAGCCAGGCCCTCCCAGCGGGGAGGCTGCTCTGCAGCGTGTCCAGCCATACAGCTGGAGGGGCTGGCGGCTTTGGCCTCCCCCCGCGCCGGGGTCCTGCAGCGGTGCTGTGACTGCCCGCCTCCAGGATCCCGTCCCTTTCCCTGGAGTGCGTTTTTGACCCGAGCCCTGAATCCTGCTCTCCCCCAGGAGTCAGTCTGGACTTAAAGCTTACCAAATACCTGGAGCCAGGAGACTACAGCATCATCCTGCAGCTGGCGGACAACCAGGGTAAATCCCAGGTGACGACTGTCAAAGCCATTGTGTGCGACTGTGACGGGGAAGCCAGGAACTGCGAGAAGAGAGCAGCCATCGCGGGCGGCGTGGGGATCCCGGTCATCCTGGGGATTCTCGGGGGAATACTTGCCTTGCTGAGTGAGTACCGCGGGCGGAGTCCCCTCCCCTCGGGGAGGAGCAAAGAGCCTCCCGCGCCTGCCAAGCGAGTGACTGTCGCGAAGGGCCTTAACCTCAGACTCACGGCAACTGCTGAAATGACTCCCAGCACAGCGTGCGCCGTTGTCTGAGCGCTCCCTGGCTGGAGCAGTGCGTCGGGGGGACCTGCTCCCATGCTCTAGCGCCTGGCCTGGCGCTGCGGGTTGCTGACCCCCCAGATAACGGCAATGCTTTCACTCCCTCTTTCTAGTCCTGCTGCTGCTGTTGCTGCTCTTCGTGAGGAAGAGGAAGGTGGTGAAGGAGCCCTTGCTTCTCCCCGAGGACGACACTCGAGACAACGTCTATCACTACGACGAGGAGGGCGGTGGGGAGGAAGACCAGGTGGGTGGAGCTCGGAAGCCGTTGCTTCAGGAAGGCCCTGCTCTCGGGGGGCAGCGCGGCTCCCCTGCGTGCGGCTGGGGCTCTGCGCTGAACGTCTCCAGTCAGAGAGCATCGCAGGGACCTGCTCCGGATGCAGGCAGGGTGGCCTCTCTCGGTGCAGCCAGGCTCAGGTGGCCTGGCCGAGGTCACACAGTGGGTCAGTGGCACTGCCGAGCTCTGAAACCAGGATCCTCTCGATCCAGCCACTCGCTGGGATGATTGGCTCTGCCGGTATCCCACCTCAATCCGCGCACGCCGCCATCACCCAGGGCCTTGGTCGCCAGCTGCCCCCTCAGATCTCGGACCCCCCCCACGTCAGCCCCTCCGCCGTGGGCCAGGCCGTTCGGACAGCCCGAGTGTGACTCGCTCGGCGCGTTGAGCGCGTGCGGCCGATGCACGGCAGGGCGGGGCCTGCAGAGCTGCGCTGCGTCTCTGGGTTCGGTTCCCCAGCGTGGCCCTGACAACGCTGCCCTCGGCTTCTCGTGGCCGGTAACGTCGGATTTGCTTGTGCTTCTAGCACTGACGTGAGCCAGTTACGGAAGAGGAGGAGGAGGAGACATGAAAACCCACCCCGGCCTTCAGTGCTCCTACCCCCCCTCCTACCCTCCCTCCCTCCCCCCACGGCCCAGTGTTGTCCTTCAGCTACCGCTTCCCTGCAGGCCTCGGGACAGAGCAGGTCGAGCGAGGGAGGCGCCGCTGTGGGGTGACTGTGCAGTGGTGGGGGGAGTTCCTGCTGTTGGGCCCTGCCTGAGGCCCCCCCCTTTACAACCTTGTTTTGGCTGCGGCTCGCAGAACAGCCTGGCTTTCTCCTGCTCGTTTCCTGACATCCCACCTCTTCTCCCTCCTCCGCAGGACTACGACCTGAGCCAGCTGCACCGCGGCCTGGATGCCCGGCCTGAGGTCACCCGCAACGACGTCGTCCCGACTCTCATGCCAGCCCCGCAGTACCGGCCACGCCCCACCAACCCCGACGAGATCGGCAACTTCATCGATGAGGTGAGTGGGGCAGGCAGAGTCGGTGACTCAGAGCTCTCTCTGTTAGCCAGGCGTCCCGTTGGCTCGGGCTGTGCAGCAGAATCCATTGCTGCAGGCTGGGCTGTGCGAAAACCCTTCCTTAGAGCCTGCCCCAGAATTCCTAAGGCTCTGTCTCTACGCCCGGGGGGGACACGAAAGCCAAAGACCCAGAGCGTGAAACTCACCGGGGCCAGGGCATTCTCGGTGTCAGGCCCTGGCTAGGGAGCGCTTTCCTGTAGCTCAGGACTTGCCCCCTTCAGAGCGCGATGCACAGCCCTTCTCTCCCCCCCAGTAGCGAAGGCAGAGAGAAGTCCGATTGCCATCCATTACAATGCTTGGAACTCAGCATTTTAATTCTCTTGGTGACAGCTCTGAGATCCCCTCGCAGCTGTGTGCAGTACCAGGGCGTGCCAGAGACATCTAAACACCTGGTCAGGACTGGGGGGCCAAGCCCACAGGGACAAAGGGAGGGGGAGATGGCATTCCTGCTGAGCGTCCTTGGGGGAGGTCGAGTGCCCTGCTGGATTGTCCCCGCACACTCCCCTTGGGGGGACTCAGGTGCCATTCCCAGAAGACTGCCCAGATCATCATGGTAGTGTTGGCCCTCTCGTTCCTCATCTGCTTCCATCAGCTGTGAAATAGTTACACGGTGGTCTGTAAATCACCGTCCTGTCACCCTGGGAATGGGGCAGAGCACCGCTGTCTTGGCTATTGGTTCAGGCTGCTTGCAGACGCCTGCCTGTCTGTCCCGAAGAGATGGGTACCAGTGGAGCTGCAGCAAAGCAAACCCCCAGTTTACATGTGCTGCCCCAGCGTGACCAGGCACCTGCCGCAGAGTGGCCCTTAGCCCTGTTGTAAACTGGGATAAGCCGCACCCGCGTACAGCGCATCTACGCTGGGGTGTGCACTGCTATGAATACCCCCAGTGCTGACAGGGCTCTGGGGGGATCCCCTGCACCTCTTCACAGTCAGCCCCTGTTGTGAAGGGTTCCTTGTGGTCACGAGAGCTCGAGGTTTAAGTTTCTTCCAAAGAGAAGCCGAGTCTCTAGCATGAGATGCCAGCTCCCGTGGGTGCTGGGTGCCGGTGCAGGGGCTGCTGACTGCGATGCAGGTACAGAGGGTGCAGGAAGGGCCGATTCTGGGACAGCAGAACTGTATTGCCCCTCCATTTAAGTCTGCCTGAGATTCTCCTGAGGGCATCCCCCGAGTGTGTCGTACTTAAAGTACTGCACAGGATCTTTTCAGGGGGAATAAGGCAAAACGCCACATTTATTAGTAATACATGTATTCATTAACACTGTATCATATGCATATAATATATATTACACTTACACTCACACAC